ATCAAATCAACATGAATGTCTATTTGATTTGGTGTTGATTCTCACATCATATCAATTCAACAACAAAAAATAATAATAATTCTACACATCAAAAACACGCCGAGAGAAGTATATGTCATGTACAAGATTCTGCTGCTCTTCCATATTAAAACACAATGCTCTGTGGCTCTTTAATAATTAGTGTCCACCTATATACCCTTGCTCTAACCTTTTATAGGGCCATTACCAACATTAGAAAATACATGCATCTACCTGAATAATTATGATCAACTGACGTTGAATGGGCTTAAAATTTGTTTGTTTTTAAGCAAATTCATTTTTATTTTTTTGTTATTTTCTAGTTTTATTTCCGTTTTACACAAATCAATTAATAAATTAATATAACACTTGGGTGGATTAAAAGCACGGTGCTTAATTCATTTCGTTAGCATCAGTTTACAACAAAGTTTTTGTAAATGTATTCTAAAGGCAAATTTGTCCAATCTATATGCAAAAACGTAGTTAAACTTTTCCAATACAATTTAATTATTTAGGTTCAGCTAACCTTATGGACTATTTTTTTTTATAACGCCGATTCACAGCAATAAAATTTATAAGACAAACATTTGCGATTTATAACCAGAAAACTGTCCCTGTCAAATAAACAAATAAACAAATAAATAAAAAATAAATGAGTCATGTGGTCCTATCATAAAAGCCGTATTCTTATTCCTTTTCACTGTTTCTATTATTATTATCATCATTTATTTTATTTTTTTTTTAATGTTCTTAAAACAGATAGCTGCGCCGCTTTGCGAGGCGACTATGGAGAAGACACCGAGCCAGAGAAGCCCGTCACCAAGCAGCAGAGGACCAGGAGGAAGCCGCGCGTCCTTTTCTCTCAGGCTCAGGTGTTCGAGCTGGAGCGGCGCTTCAAGCAGCAGCGCTACCTGTCCGCCCCGGAGAGGGAGCACCTGGCCAGCACCCTGAAACTCACCTCCACCCAGGTCAAGATCTGGTTCCAGAACAGGAGGTACAAATGTAAGAGACAGAGGCAGGACAAGACTTTGGAGATCGCAGGTCACCATCATCATCACCATCATCATCACCATCCACCTCCACCACGGAGGGTGGCTGTCCCGGTCCTGGTCCGGGACGGGAGGCCTTGCCTTGCAGGATCTCAAAACTATAATAACCCCTACACAGTAGCAGCTCCGACCCCTTACACCTATAACTACTCATCCTACAGCTACAACAACTCTGTGTACAATAACAATTACTCCTGTACTTATTCCAGTTTGCCTGCACTTCCACCCAGCAGCAGTACTCCTAATGCGTTCATGAATTTGGGGAATCTAGGCGCGCAGACGCAAAACCAGGCTCCTCAAGCACCGGTGCTCCAACCATGCCAGGGAACTCTACAGGGTATCCGGGCATGGTAGCTGCAGACTCTCCTGGATTCATGGATGGACCTCAAGCATGCAATTCTTGCAAACTCTAAGAATGTTTTGGGTTTCTGGAAGTTGTATCCTGAAATAACCCTAAAACAGACTGCTTAAAGAAAACTTTTAAACTGCAGTATTGGACAATTTTAAACATTCAAATGTGGTCCAAAAATAACACAAAAGTTGTACATTTCTAAATGAGCATTAGCTTTTTAGGTGTGATATCGGGTAAGTAATAGAATAAATGTCGGAAGAAATGGAAGAGCCCTGCTTCGAGCCAGAACAAAACCACAAAATGCACTGCAATCGCTGAAAAGTGCGACTTCACAAAAAAGTGTTTTGTTATTTTACTACTGTACATCTTACTTGTTGTTAAAACTGAATGCTATTTTTCTTTGTCTTGTTGTGAATGATAATGAAGCCTATACCGTATTTGACTTCAATAAATATGGCAATTAACAGGATATATAAATGATTGACGGGGGCTGAATGAAACATCCAACTAAATAGTGCACTGCAAAAAATTTAAATCTAAATAAGCCATTTCTTTCTTACAATAAGTACATTTTTTTCTTAAATTGAGAAGGTAAGTGAGACACTTTGCCAATGAAACAAGACAATTTACGTTTAAAATAAGGAAAAACAATAGCATTGTCTTATTTCAAGTGCATATTATCTAATTATCTTATTTTAAGTATAAAAATACCCATTCATTTGGCAACTTATCTTATTTTCTTAATCAAATTCAGGGTAAATTGACTTAATTTAAGAATTTTTTGCTCATTTCTAGATCGTTTTTGCAGTGTGCCATACGATTTTTTTTAATGCGTCTCTTTCTGCGCCTAATGGAACGCTATCAACTTGGATTCCTCCTCTAAACTCAGCTTTATTCCAACATTTTTCATCGCCTACAACAGTTTCTCAAGCAAAAAAAGCATTTTTTTCCCCTGTGAGAAAGTCTGAGACACGAACCAGAAACAGAGAAAATGTAAAAGGGAGCTCACGTCCGGTCAGGATTTAGAGATGGACATTAACCAGACAGAAGGCATCATCAGAACACCCACAGCCTGCAAACCAGCAGAGCTCAAATAATAAAAAAAATTATGGGGAAAAAAAAATAAAAATAAAAAAAAACACAACGTATCACCCATCCTAAACACACACATAAACACAGAGATGGACTTCAGCAAATACCTTTACCTACAAGGCATGCCAGGACGCTCAGACCCTATTAATGGAGATGAATTGCAAAGTAAACAGAGTGTTTGTCTCCTCTGATGGCCTCCCTGGACACTTCCTCTGGCTACTGCGCTGCCGGTGTAGGACATACCTGGTGTCAGCTTTAAGTGCTGCAGAGTCACTAGTGTAAATAGAGCTGGCGACAGGACGGCGATGCCTGAGGACGCAGCGGCCTGAGCCACCGCCGCTCTGACAGGCAGGCGCCCGCGATCACTATCGCGCGCCTCCAAAGATAGCTGCTCATCGTTGGGCTGCGCGCACGCGGAGTTTCCCAAAACAGAAAGGTCTCCAATGGCAACCACTGCAGGAAAAAAAATACCCACGGTCCAAATATAGAGGGGAAAGCAAACTCGTTTAATACGGAAACTTAAATAATTATTTCTTACTGTCTAAAGCTTCGCTGCCCACATGACAGATACAGTATAAACTCAAGTATTAGTCATTATCTCTGTGTTGAGATTTTGACAAGAATATACAAATAAAAAGATAAATACTCCCGAAAATTAAGACAATAAGGAAAATTTAGGATAGGAATTTGAAAGTTTACATTTTATTATGAAACATGTGAAAGCTTTCAGTGAAATGATCTTTTCAAAACAGTTTCTAGATAAGATTAAAATGAGGAAATGATCTCTGATGAATAGCCTGACTTTGCAGCTGTCAGAATGGAAGTCGGTTAATGGGCTTTAAAGACAACATTCGCATTTAAGTCAAACATTTATCTTTCATTCTTTTCAAATTAAACATCAAAATTGTGCTTTTATTTAGTTTTTTCCTGTTTCCCTTTTGCGTGATATAACTGTGTATAATTTGTATCTATCAGTTGGTGATGTCTCATAAAGAAGCAATGAAAACATTGAAAAGATGACTTGATATAGTTACAACAATCACATCACATTTGTAAACGTGGCTTGATTGGACCCAAACGCCAGCTATAGAGCCCATCTAACAATAACAATAACAGAAAAGCAGATAATAAATTTTATGCAATATTTTATGCAATATTTTTTCATGTACACAACAAAGCTATTTTATCGTTTTGTTATATCATTTTGTTTGATTGATAAAGTATCAGGAGGTGAAAATTAACTTACTATATCTTAGACTAAAGTGAATATAATATTTATGTTAAATTATCTTTATAATTTTGCCGAATTTAGTTAACAAGTTTATCAAAAATCGGTAAAATTGGATCAGTTTGTTTCATTTGTGTAAAATGGCACAGATCTCATTGACATTTTAACAATTTTATTTCTAAAGACATTTTTATTTGCTTTGGAACTTTATTTTTGTTTTTTTCGATTTGATCTCAAAATCCTTTTTTTCCTTTTACATTTTCAAAAATGAAAATCAAGGGTCTATATTCCCTTAAAAATAAACATGTCTTTCAAAAACAATATGACATATTTTAGTGGAATCTAATGTAAGCAATCGAAAAAAGGATTGTCGCATAAGGTTTAAAATACAACCACTACAAAACATCTAGACAAAACAATTTAAGATGATGAGATAATCTAAATTTCTACCCAGTGGCTGTGACACACTGAGCTGATCTGGCTCTGAGGAAAGTAGATTTATCTGGATTGTTGGAGGAAGAACACAAAGACCAATGGAGCAGACAGATCTCTGCATCTGTCATCACATCTTCCTAATTTGAGCTTGGTTTGGTGATTGTGTAATAGCCTGTGTCCATCTGGGATGGGTTTGTTATCACTTATTTCCTAAAGCCTTGAGGTGTTTAGAAGCACTTAGCTTATAAACCAAGAATCCTTTCCACGTGGCGGCGCTAGAAACACTAAT